AAATAGAAAATCAGTTTTATCAAATATGTCATAAATAAATCTGCACATTTCTATTGCAAAGATGCAAATATTAAAATGTTACCTATAAAAGATAAAGATTTTGTAAAAAAAAATTTTTTTTAAAAAATCAACAGTTTTACACAATCTTTGGATCTCTAAGCGAAGTTCCAAAATGTGATAAAGCATTTAACATGTTCCCCGTAAAACGAATAATTGAGGAGCCCACTTCATGACAAAACCAAACAATCCAATGTGTTTGGGCAACCAGCATGGATCCAGACCGAAACCTGGATCAGGATCATGCTGTTTGGCTTGTATCATTTTCTCTTCGTTCTCTTCTCCTTCTCTCTACTTGTAATAGAGTTGGTAAGGGAACAGCATGGATCCTGATCAGTTTGCACAGATTCACCAATATTAGATCTTGTTGATAAACTTAAATGGCTGAATTACATAATTTACGCTCAATCGCTCAGAAGGCCATACTGAAAATAAGTATACTTCTTACTGAGCAAACTTTGTAACAATGTTACCTTTTATAAATATAGATTTTATGATTATAATCATTATAAATAAGGAAAAATTTAATCTTTTCTGAGGCGTATTGTGTCTAATGAAGGCAGAGAAAAGGGTTTCTTTACTCTAGTACAGTAATGTCTTAAAATTTGGACGGAAATAATAAATATGATTCATAATATAAAATCACTGTCTATGCATACATGCAAAAATATCACCCTCTAACTTAAATAACTTTTGACCCTTATCACCCTAAAGATCTTAAATGGACTTGTCCATCTATCAATCTGGACAAAAACCATTCAACATTTTTAGGGTAAAATTTTTTTAAAATTTGTACCAACGGAATTGGCCAACATTGCAGATATGATTAGGTTAAATCTCCTTTTTTTTAAAAAAAATTCCCACTTGTATCAAAAAAAATTCAATTTTACATGTATGTCTATGGGAACAAAAATTATTTTAAAGGTCTAGACTATTAAGAATTAGTCTGCATAAATAATAGCCCAAATAAATTAAAATGAGCCCCTTATTGTAAAACCTATATTTGAAAAACTTAAAAAATAAATTTCTTTCAAGTGTATTCATACTAAGTTATTAAGCAAAATTCATACTGAAATCTCAAGTATTTTTGCATGCCAGACTCACATGTAAAATTCAGGGAGTTCTCAATTAGCTTTCGTGCTTAATTCACTTAAAAAATTCACAATCAATTCTTAAGTATTAAATTTACATTTAAATTTCTCAGAAATTTTCCCCAAACAATTTTTTTTGTTTTCTACGAAACCCTTCTTTTATAAATTTTCATGATAAAGTTTTTAGTTAAATTTACACTGATTTTTTAGAAAAAATTCTCAGTGAGTTTGAAGAAAAAATTATACTGTTTAAAAATGAACCCTTGTTATATTATAAAGTTTTTAAAAAATTTCACAGGTTTTTAATAAAACTAAAACTAAGTTCTTAAAATTCATATGATTTCAAATGAAATCTTATAAAAATTTTTAGAAAAAAAAATTTATCTGATTCTTTATAAAAATATTCTTCTAAGTAAATTCTACAATTTTTCAAATCCCAATCTATTTTCCCAAATTTTTTAGTAAAAATTTTTAAATGTTTTCCCTAGATAAGACTCAAACTATGTTCTCAAGTAAAATTTACACTGATTTCAAACGCAATCATAATATATCAAGATTTTAGAAAAAAATCAATTTATACCGAGTTCTTTGATAAAATACATACTAACTTCTCAAGATTAAATTCAAACTGAATTCACACATAAAATTCAAAGAGTCTTAGAAAAATTAAAATTTACAGCAAGAGTTTGCATGTTGTAATTTTTCATACTGAAGAGTCCTCGGGTAAAACTTCAGTGCAAGTCTAGATGTTGGTTTCTAGGTGGCACCTTAAGACTCTGTTGTCACGGAACTTCTCCTGGACTGAATGCCACCCAGGGGCTTCAACCTGAGACCCGAAAGTCCTTTCTGCCTGACATTCTGAGGTTTTGGGCTCTTTGAGGACATCTGAGCGCCCAGTTGTAGTCCGATATTCTGTAAGCTTGGTCTTGTCTTTGGTTGGGAATGTTTGGGCTGTAAAATAAAAATAAATGGAGGATATTGAATGAGTGTAAAATCAATACTGAATTTATTGAACAAGTTGAATAAAGTTATATTATACGAGCCTCTGGTGAGCATAATATTTTAAGTTCAATAAATTCAGTATAGAAATTACACGAATATGATTGTCTTTTTATCACTTATACAAAAGAAAGTCAAGAGTGTTTAAAGTGAAAAGGAATCATTTTTCAATGATACACCTATAGTGTAACGCTAACATTTAGCGCGTCTTTACACTGTGTTTGTATAATGCAAATGACGTCACGTCAAAATATATGCACAGTCGTGCAATACTGTTTTTACCAAGTCGCAAAATCGGCACAGGTATGTGATAAAACATTATTTCAACTTATTTCAAATTTGTTTTAGCCTGATTAAATGATTGAAACAAACAACAACAATATTTCTTCACTAATAATGAAAATCAATATCGAAGTTGTAAAGCATCAGCTTAAAAAAACACACATTCTTAAACTAGAACTCTTTCTATTGGTCAATTTGAAATTTGACATTCAAATCAACCAATCAAAAACTAGACTGGTTCCTCATTTTAAGTTTACAAATCAGCCAATCAATCAATCAATAATTATTAATCAATCAATCAATCAATTTAACCAATCAATCAATCAATCTATTGGGAATATAGAGTTTTAGACTGGTTCCCAACTTAAAATTTTCAAATCAATTAACAAATCAATCAATCAGTTTTTAGAAGAATGGTTCTTTATGGTTTTTTCGTTATATTACCTGAGTATTGGAGAGTGCCTGTGTATGGAAATTCTTCATTTTTGCCTCAAACTCACGTATGTAAGCCGGGAACAAGGACTTCTCGTCATAGGCTGTCCTCAAAGCTGAAATTAAAAAAAAAAAAACAGTTTAGTCTAAGGGGCATTTTTTTTGGAAAATGTTTTCGAATTTTTTTTTTTTAAATTCACTCTTTAAAAAGCAATTGTTTGGTACCAATTAAATAGGAAAGTGTTTTAAAAAATTTTAAAAATTTTTTTACATTACTAATTTTTTCACAAAAAATTTACAAGTTCTGCCCGAAAAAAAGTCCCCCGTTTTAATTTTTGGTATGTATTTAAGAGTACTTTTTTATTATGTAAAAAATTTTTGTGATGTTATTGGATTCGTTTTGTTATCATGTCGGGTGTTTCCAGGGAAAAAGATTCGAAAAGCGTTATAATTAAACTTATAGGGTTTAAAAAACTAAAACTAAAAAAAACTAGTATAAACTAACTAAACAAATTATAGTTTGTTTTTTTTTTTAAAATGGTTTTTTTTGTCACTTGACACGTTAGGTCATATGGCAAAACCAGCTTTACTGGTGGAGGAAACCTAGTGCCCTTCCCTGGGTGATTTTTAAGCACGAACAGGCACCCGATAGAACCAACGAAGTTCCCTTGTGCTGGATAGCTTCCCCACATGAAAAGAAATCCAAAGTCCCTGTCAGGATTCGAAACCCCCCGCGGTATGGGGCAAATGATTCGAAAAATCCAAAAACCTTACCATCGGCCATTTTTTAAAAAACCCAAAAAAATTTGTCAAAATTTCGTTGGGTAAATTTTGGGATTTCTTGTCTGAAATTGGGGTCGTTCAAAAAAACTTGTCGGGGGCCGGCTTTTTGGCTGTTCAATTTTGTTTAATCCGGAAAGTCTAATGCCTGAAAAAAAAGTAGCATATAAGTTTAAAACACCTGTCTTTTCCAGAAAATTAACAAAAAAAAAATTTAAAATTAAAGGAAAAAATAAAAACATATCGCTCTAAAAAAAATTTTTAAATGATTGCCCACTCTTCCAATCCGGACAACCTCTCATCATTTAGGGAAAAAGTCAAAATAAGTTTCTAAACATCAAACAACGTGGACAATGACCACACAGCACAACATGGACCATGACCACCAGGCACAATGTGGACCATGACCACAAGGCACAATGTGGGCCATGACTGTACGGCACAATGTGGACCATGAACATACTGCACAATGTGGACCATGACCATACTGCACAACATCGGCACAGTAAGGACCATGACCATATTGCACAATGTGGACCATGACCATACTGCACAACATGGGCACCAGCATGGACCATGACCATATGGCACAATGTGGACCATGACAAGACTGTACAATATTTAAACATCTCCCTATTCACACAATACTATATCTCAAATGCAACTATGGAAATAGGAGTTTGATAACTTTTTTTTTTATTGTTGACTTTTTGTTATATGATGTTCTTAAAATCATACATCCTTTTTATGACATTTTATGTTTTCTCATTGTATATTCAAACAAATATGTTTCCCCTGTTTGGTCAAATCAACACAGTGGAGGTCATTATGGTGACTTTCCAGCTTTACGGGGGAAAAAACCTACCCTCCCCCCCCATGGATTACTTTTTAGGGACAAACAAGCCCACCCCCGATGTTCCACAATTATTTGGTTACTAAATGTCCTTAAGAAAAAAATCCATCGTTATCAGGGCCCCCCATTAAAGAAACATTTCTGATTTTTTTTTCTGAGGGATGGGTGTTATTGGACCCTTCCCCAAAGAAAAAAATATATAAAATCATGCAGTTTATCCCAAATATTGATGTCATTTCATGTTTTTTCTTCCCCCTTTTGCAAATATAGCATAAAATTGTCCCCCGAATTGAAGGGTGGGATTGCTTTCCCAACCTATGAAAAAAAAGCTCTGAAATTCATTTAAAATTAATTCTTTAGAAAAAACAAAGGGAGGTAACTCACAGAATAAGGTCCTGAGGGTGGCGCCCCAGTTCTCTCCCAGTGTAAATAGGCAAGATCAGGAATGGTTCCCGGCTGCTGGCGCTGTCTCTTATTCCTCCTTGATTCTTGGTATTCCTTACCTGGAACCAGACAAAACTTTTTGTCAATTATTGCTCTTTGGACTTGTTTTTCTGATATATTTTTAATTTGGTCATATTTATTGACCTTTTCAAGAACACTGTTCTCAGGTACGCTGCTATCAAAACTATGTCTTTGGTCTTATTTTCTGCTGTTGTAAATTTTTTTTACTTGGTCACATTTATTGACCATTTCAAAAACATTGTGCTATGTTACTGCTTTAGCTCTGGCAAAGTACACAGCATTATTATGTGATATTCTTATTTTTTTTTATCATGATTTTACCATTTAAGGTGGAAAAAGCTTGATGTATAAAAAATTATCATTGTTCTTAAAATTTACAAAAATTATATTGTTAAATTGTTGTGAAATTAAATTAAATTTAAAATTAAATTTTTTTAAAATTAAATTAACGAAAATCTATCAATTTTAAACAGTCAAAGCGACACCTGCCATAATAAATAGATATTTTTTAGTCAGCTTAAAGCAGCACACCTCTAGACTCAAGAAAATTTTCATGAAATTTTGAAGTAAAATATTGTTAAGTTAACAAAGAAAATAAATTTCACATTGCAAACAGCGCTTACAACCGGCCCTGTATCAGTTCACCAAAAAGAAAGTCAAAATATGCAGTAATAACCCTTCACAGTAGAAATATGGAAAAAGAATACTGCAAAATCAGTCAAATTTCATAACATGGATATTATAATACTTCTATCTTGATTTTTTTTTTTACTTTTCAGAAAGTCATAATTCTTTTTTTCTCTTGAAATAGTTTGGCTTATATCTGGAGGCATGCAACTTTAAGGACCAAAAAACAAAAACAAAACAACATAAAATATTAAAAAACATCATTATACCAAGATGAGTGGATTCCCAGGTGTCTACCCTGTATTCACTCGGGTTTTCCGTGGCCATCGGGTTAGGCGTCCACTCCGACTCGTGATCGCTCTCCACTTCCATCTCGATGTCTTCCTCCTCCTCCTCTCTCTCCACTTCCTCCTCCAACTCCTCCACCTGGTTGTAAGGTTCTATCTTCCAATGTTCCTCCTGTGCGAGGGAGGAAAACAGAAGAGCTTGTATTAAGTACATGGGAGGAAAATAGAAGAGCTTGTATAAATCACATGGGAGGAAAATAGAAGAGCTTGTATAAAAGCATACACCTGTCTAGCTTATCAGGTGGTACAAGTGCCCCTCCCTGCATTATTTCAGGCAAGGAGGGCCACCTGAGGAGAACAGCTGATGTTTCATAAGCTACCTGGATAGCATCTTCACATGAAAAAATTCGAAATCCCTCAGATAGTAAAAGGATTAATCTTATATTAAAGGCAGTCTCTACTGAGATTTTTTGACATGACAGGATTGGAACTATTTTTGGAGACTTATGTACATTTTGATACAGGCTTACACCAATAACTTTTGTGCAAGATTTTTTATCATTCCCCTAGAATAATTATTAATATTTTGCGGAAAAATGGCCCAAAAATTAAAAGTGTTAAAATCGAAGTGTTTATTCAAAATTATGCTTAGATAAGAAAAACAAAAGATTTTCAATTTAATTCTCAGTAAATTTCTGTTGTATATTTTTTTTTCATTTCAAAGTGTTTAAATGATTAACATGTATATACAAGAAATTAAAATTTCAGATTTTCAGGCTTTGGACCTTAAAGGATTTCCTTAAATCAACATTTGGACCATTCATTAATAGATAGCAACTAATGGGGTTTACCAATTTATTGCTGATTTTACCGCGATAAAAATATCTGAAGGATGAAAAGAGTAGCACTAACTTAAAGATATACTATCCTCATCCTTGCGTAAAATATATTTTATCGCAGAAGATTATTGAAATCTACGCATTTCTTATCAAATATGTCCAATTTGAATAAAAGAACAATTAAATTATATATAGAAAGCTGAAAGCTTCATTTCCTATTACAGGTCAAGTAAAAATGGTCTTTCCTGGTCCGGGACATTGTAGCATGTATGATTTCACTCAGTTTAAGTTACAGTAGTTTATACCTGTCCAAATGTGCCGATTCTATTGCCATGAACGTCCCACAACGACACACTACAGTCCGAGGAGGCAGAGATTATTATCAAACGTTCGTTTCTCTCGCATAACTCCAGCGTGTTGATCATGTCCTGATGCGGCTGAAACTGTGTACGCAATGCTGAAATAATCCAACTACACACTTAACTGCCTGTACATATGAGCCGTGTCATGACAAAACCAACATAATGGGTTTGCGACCAGCATGGATCCAGACCAGCCTGCGCATCCGTGCAGTCTGGTCAGGATCCATGCTGTTCGCTTACAAACCCTATAACACGTAGAGAAACTGATAGCGAACAGGATGGATCCTGATCAGACTGCACGGATGCGCAGGCTGTTCTGGATCCATGCTGGTCACAAACCTATCATGTTGGTTTTGTCATGACGCGGCTCATATATCGTTTTAAGCAATAAAAATGTAAAAAAACACTATAAAACACCATATATATCCCAATACTCATCCCTGTTTCATTTAAGTAAATGTATTTATTTTAGTCTATTTTTCTGTTCTGGATGATTACATTATTTAATCGTTGAAATAATTCAACATTTATTGCATATACACATATCATTTTTAGCGATAAAAATGTAAAATACCTCATTGCTGTCTCAATTAAGTATAATATTAATTTATTTCTGTTTTGAATGATTGACAATAACTGCTGTCAGAGTGAGTATTATTACGTCACAAAAAGTTTGTGAATGTCCAAAAACAGACTTTTTGTGTGCGGACAATTATGTATTTGCAAAAGTCATTGTACTTCCGGGGGTTTCCTTAAAAAATTTGACCCTTTTGAAAAGCAAAATAAATTTTAATTTATATTAGTTCGCTAAATTTAGCAGTCCTTTAATACTATGTTCGTAAAAAACTAAAAAGTTTTAAAGTCAAAATAAAGGGAAGCCCTGCAAAAACCATTTTTTCCGGGAAAAATCAAAAACGGCACCTTTGGGAATGGGGATAAATCCAGTTTAAATCAAATTTAAAAAAACTTTTGGGAAGCTCCTTTGAATCCCCCTTGATTAAAGAAAGCCACTATTTCAGAATCTCCAGAATTCAGCACCCCGTAAAAAAACCCGTTAAAAAAGTTAAAAAAAATTATTTTTAAATTTAAAGCCCTAATTATTTTCCCGCTATAAAATAAAAAATACAATCAGTTAGATTGGCTGGATTTTAAGTCACTACTCTTATATGTTTTAAAAGGATTTAAAACCCAAAACCCTGATTTTAGGGTAGAATAAAATTCCCTTTGTAAAATTCTTACCTAAAACCCCCAAAAAAAAATATTTCAGTAAAAAGAGCAAAAATTTTTTTTTAAATAGCAGTAAAAGGAATCTTTAAAATTTAAAAACTACCGTTTAAAACTGAAAAAAAGTAGGAAATGAGCCTTTTTCCAAAGCCCGAACCAAAATAGGGGTGGGGGGGGTTTTCGACCACATGGATCCAAAACCCGCCAGCTCCGCGCAGTCCCAAACGGGTCCATTTCTGTTCGCTATCGGGTTTTTCTATTTTAAAAGGAAAATTTGGGAAACCCAACGCAGGATCCTGATCAGATGCGTGGGCGGGGGCTGGTCTGGATCTAAAGCTGGTGAAAAGCACTGTGTTTTTTTGTTGGTGCGGTAAAGTTTAAAAAAAGGATTTTTTAATTTCCCCTGAAATCTAAAAAAATCTATGATGTTTTTTCCCGATAATGTTAAATTTTTTTATTTTTTTGATTGGGGTTTTACCGGGCAAAAAGACAACCCGAAAAGGGCATTTGGCGACGTTCCGGGTTTTCTGGGGGCAGAAAACCCCAGGGGCCCCCCAGGCATTATTTCAAGCACCCAAACGGTCCCCCCTGAGAAAATTACCCCCGACGTACCGGGGTTTTGCTTCCCAATGGGAATCTAAAAGGGCTGTCGGAATTTAAACCCCAAGGGTGAGGGGCAAGTGGGTTTTAAAATCAACGGGCCTTTAAACATCGGCCACGGGCCGGCCCCTGTTAAATGTTTTAAAAAACAGAAAATTTTTGAAAAAAATCTCCCAAACTCTTTTTAAATAAAAGAAAAAATATTTTCATACCCTTTTGAAAGGGGGCCGTGAAATCGGCCCTCAAAGGTTTTTTTGGAAAGTTCCCGAACCTTACAATTCCATTGCCACCGCAAGAAACCAAATTAGCGCAACCACTGGCAGAGTTACCTTTCCTTGCTTCTAAAAATAGCAACTTGGATATGGCCCAGCTGTATTCATTCTGTAACAAGAGATGTATATTTTATAATACTAGATCTTCTGACTTAAATAAAAAGTAAATAATAACGGGTCATTATTTCTTTCACTGCTGCAGCACTGGCTATGCTATTGCAAATGGTGTAACCAGAATAAAGGGGGTTAACTCAAACTTGACAAAAAAAAAGCAGATAACTCTAGATGTAACCAGAATAAAGGGGATCAACTTTAACTTAAACATGAAAAAGCACATAATTGCAAATGGCGTGACCAGAATACAGGTTGTCAAAAAAGCATTATATGATTACAAATGGTGTAAACAGAATAAAGGGGGCTTTCTCAAACCTGTCAAAAGCACAAATTAATTGCAGGTGGTGTCAAAAGAATACAAGGGTATTAAAACTTGTTTGTTTGTTTGTTTCATTTTACGCCTTTTCCTAACAGTATTTCAGTCATAATGGCGGGTAGTTTCCTAACCATCATTCCTGGAGTCTCAGTTACACCAGTACTAGACTACCTTCCTCCATGCTAAACTACCAAAGCATCTCCCGGGGATCATACCCACGCCAGGGAGGTAACTGGATTATAAGTCATCGACACTTACCCCTCAACCACGGAGGCGGTCTGGATTAAAACTTAACAAAAAAAAAAAAAATTTATTAAGGGAAATATTTCTCTTCAAGCTTCAAGAATAGCCATACAATTGTTATATTAATTTTATAAAAATAATCTACAGATTCATAATGACAGTTAGTTTTCAAATTTTGCACAATAAAATCATTATAAATATATCAAAACTTATTTTTTTTCAGATAATCAATTGCAGTTGTCTCCCATAATATTACAAATGGTGTAATACTAATAAAGGGAAGATAACTAAAACTACTTCATTTCAGCAATAGACTTTCCCTGCAACAATAAAATCATTATAAAATATATCAAAACTTTATTTTTTTTCAGATAATCAATAGAGCTATCTTACAATTAACATAATATTACAAATGGTGTAATAACAAACAAAGGGAGATCAAACAAAACATAAAAAAGGGGGCATAGCTAGATAGATAGGAAATCAAGGCTTGTTATTAAAAAATGAGTTAACTGTTGGCATATTTGAAAATACCAAAATAAAAAAAATTGATTGAAAGAGAATTATTTAAGAAAACTAGAAACTAAGTTCAAAATGGATGTAAATTTAGGGAATTTAATTAAAACCCCCTTAAAACCATGATAAAAAATGTCTACTTGTACAACTTGTGTATAGTATTCAGAAAAAGAAATCCACTATTAACATATTGACATAAAAAGAGTTAAATAAAAAAAAAATTCCTACAAAATGAGGTGATGGTATGCAAATTAGAGATTGGGGACGGGCATTAATTAGAAACAATACGGTACGGTATAATCACACGGAGAAAATAACAATATTTCTAAAAGCACAGAGTGCAAGTGAAAAGGTGGGACTACCTTCCCTCTCTCGACTACCTATATAATTTACTAAAAAAAAACTTTTATCTTATCTTACACCTAAATAACACATACTCAGCCATTCCTGACTGTTTTCATTGAAGCGTGGGCAGTGTGAAGGTGCAGTTATGGTTTATATGCCATATTTAACACAGTTTTTGGTCATTTCTAAGCCACTGATCCATCTTACAGGTTTTTCTTGGATATCTAATCAGAAATCATCAATTTTTCTGAAAATGAGTTATAATTACTAGCCCCACATGATTCCTGTTTGTTTGGTTTGATTTTATGGTGCACTAACAAATCTCATTCATTTTGAACCCAAACAGGAAAGGGATTTTGACTATTTTTTCTTAAACCCGGAACCATGGAAAGCATAATGCCTTTATGAAATTTTAAAAAATGTTGTTTGTTTGTTTCATTTTAAAGCCCTTTTCCCAAAAAATAATTTTTATCAAAAAAGGGGGTAAATTTTTTTAACCCTTGTTCCTGGAGATTACACCAGTACAGACCCACCCCTTTTCCCCGCTAAAATACCAAAGGGATTTACCAGGGGTCGAAAACCCCCCCAAGAGGGTTTCCGGGTTGGAAATCATCAAAAATTACCCCCGACCCCGAGGTGGTTCGAAAAAAATAAAAGGGAAATCAGTGTTTCGTCGTGTTAAGGTAAATGAAAATTTGGGAAAGCATCTTTCTACATATCTATTCACAGTAAATCTTATAATCAAACCAAAGAAATAAATAAATTTAAAAAAAAAGGAAAAAAAGAGAAGAAAACGGATTAGGTGCAACCCCCTTAGCATGTGCATAAAAAAAATAAGTTGAAAAATTTGAGTTAGGGTACCAGTCATAAAAAAACCCTAGCACCTGATTGGCTAATTTTGAATTTTAATTTCGAATTCGACCAATGGGAGAGAAGAACTCACAGACTGATCCTAGAACTCAAATTTTTCTTTAAAAAAAGTAATAAAAAAAACCCAACAAAATATAAGTAACAATACTAGAACAAAGTACAAATGTTGTTTGCCAGTTAATACCTCTTCTTTTTCATCACTTTCCATAATATCCTTTGTAAACAGGAATGACAAAAAATTTAAATATTCTTTAATCAATTATTATAAACAAGAGTTTAGAAAAATTCAAGAAAAGGGAAGAAATTCTTAATTATAATGCAATTAAAACTTGAGTGAAAATGGGGAAGAATTCTTAATAAGCAATTAAAACTTAAGTGAAAATGGGGAAGAATTCTTAATAAGCAATTAAAACTTTAGTGAAAATGGGGAAGAATCCTTAATAAAGCAATTAAAACTTGAGTGAAAATGGGGAAGAATTCTTAATAAGCAATTAAAACTTAAGTGAAAATGGGGAAGAATCCTTAATAAGCAATTAAAACTTAAGTGAAAATAGGGAAGAATTCTTAATAAGCAATTAAAACTTAAATGCAAATGGGGAAGAATCCTTAATAAGCAATTAAAACTTACAATGAAAATGGGGTAGAATCCTTAATAAAGCAATTAAAACTTGAGTGAAAATGGGGAAGAATTCTTAATAAGCAATTAAAACTTAAGTGAAAATGGGGAAGAATTCTTAATAAGCAATTAAAACTTTAGTGAAAATGGGGAAGAATCCTTAATAAAGCAATTAAAACTTGAGTGAAAATGGGGAAGAATCCTTAATAAGCAATTAAAACTTAAGTGAAAATGGGGAAGAATTCTTAATAAGCAATTAAAACTTAAATGAAAATGGGGAAGAATTCTTAATAAGCAATTAAAACTTTAGTGAAAATGGGGAAGAATCCTTAATAAAGCAATTAAAACTTGAGTGAAAATGGGGAAGAATTCTTAATAAGCAATTAAAACTTAAGTGAAAATGGGGAAGAATTCTTAATAAGCAATTAAAACTTAAGTGAAAATGGGGAAGAATCCTTAATAAGCAATTAAAACTTAAGTGAAAATGGGGAAGAATTCTTAATAAGCAATTAAAACTTAAGTGAAAATGGGGAAGAATTCTTAATAAGCAATTAAAACTTAAGTGAAAATGGGGAAGAATTCTTAATAAGCAATTAAAACTTAAATGAAAATGGGGAAGAATTCTTAATAAGCAATTAAAACTTAAGTGAAAATGGGGAAGAATTAAAAATTAAAATGGCAGACTCAGTTATGACTGTACAATTTTTTTTTTAATTATATTGTACATAAGATGTTTCTCATGAAATTGACTTAGTTTTTATAAAATTTACTGAAAAATAAACATTCAATTAATCTTCCTTTTCTTTTTTTCAATGCATGATCAAGATTTGGTTCTAAGTAAATACATGTTCCAGGTTAACTGGGTATTTTACTAACTTAAGTACACATAGTTATATTACAACTAGCCAGCTAGAAACGTGTAAAGGGGAGTAATTCATGCAAAACCTTTAAATGCTGTTACATCTATGCTAATGTACATGTAAGGAAGACTGGAGCAGTTATATTTTAGATAGTGAAACTTATCAAAGCCCTTAAACAAAAATTGACATTGCTTGGTGGAACACAGTAAAGAAAATTGTATTTTTATTTCAAAAAAGAAACTTATGTCAGTGGAGTATTACAAAGATGACATGCAACGATATGACTGTTGGTGCATAAATTAAGAGAGGAGGGGTTTGTAAGAACACAAGCAGGGTTCAGGACACAGACAGGGCTTGTCTGAACTGATATGGGGTTGGTCAGAACTGTTAAGTGGCTTATCAGAACACAGGAGGGGCTTGTAAGAACACAGGCAATGCTTGTCAGAATATATGTTGGGTTTCTCAAAATAGGGGCAGGGCTTGTAAGAACAGAGGTTTGGGTTTATCAGAACAAAAGCAGGGCTTATCAGGAAAAGAGGTGTGGTTCTTCAAAACAGAGGTGTGGCTTGTCAGAGCAGAGGCTGGGATTGTCAGATTAGACATGGGACTTGTTACAACAGGATGGAGCTTGTCAAAACAGAGGCAAGATTTGTCTAAACAGAGGTGGGGTTTGTCTTAACAGAGGTGGGGCTTGTCAAAACAGAGGAGGACCTTGTTATAACAGAGGCGGAGCTTCTTTACTCACCTCATCTTTACCACTCCCCCTGCTATGTAAACTGGCCCTTGATGCTTGCCTTGATTTTGCTGACACATTAGTATTCTGAAGAAAAAAAACAACAAGAATACTATTAGTGCATTAGTTGTGACTTTGTTTAAAAATTGGACCAGTCTTCTCTTTCTTTTATGACTCTATTGTGGTGTAAAATGAAGTTTTTCTGTATCTTTCATTTTTGTTCTTATTTAATTAAAAAGAAGTTTGGACAACAGTACAATTAACTTTTTTTCGTTGTTTTAAGAAAAATTCTCTGAATCACCTCAAGAATGAAAAGTTTCATTTTACATTAGCAAACATGATAATCTAATTTTGTCTATATCCAAGATTACATCTGAAAATCAAAGGGTCACAACTCTGAAAAAGATAAGAAGGAAACAATGTAAAAATTTGGCAATATAATGAAAAATAAGATGACACCAACCATAAACATTTATAAGCAATACTATGAAAAATGGCAATCTGATATTTTCATCTTTTAAAAAGGGCAATAACTCTAGTATTTCATTAGAGTAGAGTATCTGCTCTTGAATTGGGTGCATTTGTTACATACTGCTGTTTTAGTAATTTAAAAATAGCAATGTAGGAAAACTGTACCTCTCTGGTTTTGGTAACAAATGTGCTGCTCCTAGATTTTGTTCTTTTCTTCATTCTCTGTGTAAGATGTCTGGACGAATGCTCTGAGTTTGTATTCCATATAACAATCTCACCATCATAGGATCCTGGATAAAAAATATCAGCCAATGAAAAGCAAGTTTAGAGAATGCTGAATCAATAAGAGCCTGGATAAAATATCAGCCAATGAAATCGCGGGATCCAGTTTTGTGGACGGACGGACTGACGGACAGACGGACGGACATTCTCACAGGACAGTAATTATGTGGCTACTCTATTGTTCTCTCTATTGTTCTTTTTAGCCACACAAAAGAAAATAGCCACATAAAAGCATTACGGAATGAATGACATCAAAGAGAAAGAACAGTTACCTATTGTCCCTCTAGCCACATAATTACTCTCCTGTGAGTGCGGACGGACAGACTGACGGAGGGTAAACCTAAAGACCCCTCCGGTAAACCGGTAGGGGACTAATAACCAAAGATAGTATCTTACCTGTTGCCAGGATATTTGGGGGCTGGAAAGCCGCACATAAGACATCTTCTGCGTGTTCCTGACCTCCTTTCCAATCAGAAGGTAACACATGAAACTCTCGGAAACTTGTGTCCCGGAATACAGTTACATATCTAAAATGGTTAAAAAAAACAAATGAATTATTAAAATTTCTTTTTTCAGAAACAATTACTGGGATCAACACTTTTCAGTTTTGCTGTTGGAAAAAAATTATTGATGACTTTCACATTATCCTTCTGCAAAACAAAGACCTAAAAACATACAATTTGAAAATCTAACAAATATCAAGTGAAGAACTTAAAATGGAGAATTCTGCAAAGGGTAACAAAGAAATATACTCAGAATTAAATGCAAAATCAATACCCCCTAATGCATTTCTTAGCTTATTTGCGTGAAAAACATTTGGTTCATTTCTCACCAAAAAAAATAAATATTTTGAGCTGAAAGTCTGCACACAAGTTATTGGTCCTGACCTGCATCAACTGGTACACAAATCTCGGAAAGATATTTTCAGTCTGGTCATGTCAAAAAACCTCTTTAGAGTTTCTTTAACAAAACTGAACTAAACTAAGATATTCCCTGAGCTGCTGCTTTTTCATTAAACTGACCGCACATCTTTTTGTATAACATAAAAAAAAAACAACAACAAAACTTACTTTGCCCATCCGACTGCTACTACACTTCTTTTCAAACTCAGAACTTGGCCAATATCAGCGGGTTGTCCACCTGAGCAGTCTAATGTATGATAACAGTGACCATTGAAGTCCCAAATCTGCAAATATAATGTCAAAAATTGTAAATATGATGTTATAATGTCAAATATCTGCAAAAATCATGTCAAATAGCTGCAAATATCATGTAAAATATTAAATGTATGTGTAAATACAATACGATGTATGTTTTAACACGGTTTTAAGTGATATTATCATTTTTAACGTAATTTTCAGCACAAAATGCTTTGGATTTCTATTTTTAGCACAGAATGTCTTAACTTTCTATTTTTAGCACACAATGCTGTGGTTTCTTTTTTTTAGAAAAAAATGTCTTAGATTTCTATTTTTAGCACAAAATGCTTGGATTTCTTTTCTTAAGACAAAATGCTTTGGACAAGAAATTTCTTGGATTTTTATTTTTAGCTGAAAATGCCTCAGATTTCTATTTTTAGCGCTTTCTAAATATACTGTTTAATAGAGTATTTATACTTTAGCAGTGCCATAAGAAAATCTTTGAATTTCTATTTTTAACCAAAAATTCCTTTGATTTCTATTTTTAGCACAAAATGCCTGAAATTTCTATTTTTAGCGCTTTCTAAATATATATTCTTTAATAAAAGTTTTTATACTTTAACAGTGCCATCTGTACTTGAAGTAAGGAGCCTCGTCTCTGTCGAGTCCTGGGTTAAACAAGTGACCTCTGCGCTGCCATGGCAACTGTTGAACTGTTTGACCTTTTGACCTGTATCTATCATCCACATCACCATGGTCCCAGCTTGACAAACACTCACAACCTGCAAGAAAAAATAATAACATTTTTATATCAATAACAAACAGAAAAAATTGTTTTATGAATCATTATATTTAAAATTTCTCTAGTATATTAGAATTTCTGGTTAACTATAGTCAGGGATAGCTTCTTGGCTTAATAGAATCTATCATTGGGTTTGATATAGGATAGGGAAATCCCAACCCGAGGGTGATCGGTTCCATCGGGAACGAGCCTTAGGCGCCTGAAAAGCATTATGTACGTCCGCAAAAAATTCTTCTGACCAAGTTTATGTGTGAAAAATTTAATGAAAATAAATTCATATGAGATCCCTCATGAAAAAGCAAGATTATCATGATAAAACACATCGATATTAAAAACGGAAAGTGCCATACTATAAGTGTTTATAGTGATATAAGGAATTCAGTCCATACTTCAATGGTTGACAAAAAAGCGTTTACCGTTTGCAAAGATTTTTCTACTTTTTTGGTTATTTTGGCCGAATATTCAATTAAAATATATCAAAATGAGATTTGTCATCAAAAAGCATCGTTATCATAACAAAAAACATGAATGTTTTTCAGGCAAAGTGTCATAATATCCGATTTTACGAAGAACGTTTCGATATTTTAAAGTGTGATATTTTTAGTAAACAGATGTTATTGAAAAGGGTGGATCTAGGTAGAGTAGGACTCATTGCAGTGTGAAAGTTAATATCAATCTATTTTGATTCCGTTAGACAATTTAATCCCCAATTAATAGATTAGCTTACAAATTTTTAATACATTTTGACCTTTTGACGTTTAATTTTTGTTAAAATAGGAGTGAATCGCGTATTATTTAGAAGTGCTGCACGTTGAGTGGCACAGAGATAAGCCCATGTGAGATAAGATTTTCCAACACCGCTATTTTTAGTAACATTTAAGGATTTTTTTATCTGGTTAGTGAGAAAATTATAGTCCTATCTGATTATAGACAATGATAGCTTCATACCTATTTATAGACAAGGATAGCTTCATACCTATTTATAGACAAGGACAGCTTCATACCTATTTATAGACAATGATAGCTTCATACCTATTTATAGACAAGGACAGCTTCATACCTATTTATAGACAACGATAGCTTCATACCTATTTATAGACAAGGACAGCTTCATACCTATTTATAGACAAGGATAGCTTCATACCTATTTATAGACAAGGACAGCTTCATACCTATTTATAGACAATGATAGCTTCATACCTATTTATAGACAAGGCTAGCTTCTTACCTGACTATAGACAAAGTTAGCTTCTTACCTGATTATAGACAAGGATAGCTTCCTACCTATTTATAGACAAGGATAGCTTCATAACTATTTATAGTCAAGGACAGCTTCATAACTATTTATAGACAAGGACAGCTTCATAACTATTTATAGACAAGGACAGCTTCTTACCTATTTATAGACAAGGCTAGCTTCTTACCTGATTATAGACAAGGATTGTTATAGACAAGGATAGCTTCTTACCTGATTATAGACAGAGTTATAGATTGCAGCTACGACCGGCTTCTCATGTGACATGATCCTGTCCCTGATCTCGGCCTTCATCTCCATCAAGGTCAGCTGATAGTTGAAGGATATAAATAACCTATTGCGTTCAACTCCATGTCGGTCTTTACCCTCGTCAAAGAATAATGAGCTATACACTGAAATGAGAAACACTACTACATGACCTGGTGTGCATTTTTTGGGTTTGTAATTCTTATAAATATATGTCATTTGAATCTGCTCAATTGTGCTATTAAAATGGCTGGTATAAACATATATATTTAAAGCTAAATGAGTCAAAATATTTCAATAAAATCAAACTTGAGAAAAATGTACTAAGATGTAAGGAAAAGTAAAAAGTTTCAAGATTAAAGTATATTTTACATATTATGTGCGATTAATGACTGATTTTTCAGTATTTACAACTATATTTCTACTGCGTTACTAACGCAGTAAATGCTATTTATGCATATATTGACCACTTTTTGGTACTTAACATGGTTTGTAAGTGCCATTGATAATGTGTGAATTGCTTCTTTTTGGTTATTTCACAATAGTACACATTCAAATACATTTGCAAAATTTTCATGAAAATTAACATGAATCTGGTGGCATGCTGCTTTAAGCTCAATTGTTTTTTTATTGTTTTTTGTTTTGTTTTTTAAACATGAATGTCATATATTTCCTACATTTGAATCTGCTCAGTTGTGCTCTTAAAATGGTTGACTTAAACATATTTATTTAAGCTCAAATGTGAAACATTTTTACATCTTGCAACTTATATTAATTACTTTCGAGTCCACTTCCTTAGGAACCAACCAGTACTGGTGTCATATGAAGAAACATGGTCATGACCCTATTAGGGCTCGAACCCACGATCGCAGGGTTGAGACGCAGACACCTTAAACACACAAGGCCATCGCTCCCCTTAACATGGTTATACATCATGTACACTAGTTTAATCAAAACAAAGTCATACAAAAGCCTTTTTTGAGAGTGGGGGTTAAAAAAACAAACGTTTGTCCCCTGATGTTTCTTAGACAGAGACCAAACATGGTCTACAGTAACTGTGAGATGAAAAAACAGGATTTTTTTCAACCCTAGGTGAAGTTGAACAGATCCACCCGGCACAGTTACCCAAAAGGCAGACATACATGAAATGTTTCAATACAGTATTTACTGATATTAGCAAATTAAAGAACTAAAGGTAATCTAAGGATTGCTGACTGCATGAGTTCAAACCCTGTCAGGGGCAAGCCGTTGAACTTACCTTCGGGACATTTTGGAAACATGCCAAATTAAATTCTGGACCTTTTGGAAACATGCCAACTTACCTTCGGGTCATTTTGTAAACATGTCAACTTACCTTCTGGACCTTTTGGAAACATGCCAGCCAGTCTTTGAATACACACTTGCAACTGGACGTCCCAGATTCTTAAAACCTTGTCCTTAGAGAAGCTGATGAGTTGACCACGGCTTTTGATGAATTGGACTTGTACTACACTGGCCATGTGACCACGCAAAATCTACAAAACAAGATTCTATTTTTAGCACGCATTGCCTTGGATTACTATTCTTAGCAAAAAATTTATTAGATTTCTATTTTTTAGCACAATAATAGCACAAAATGCCTTGGATTTCTATTCTTTAAGCAAAAAATTTCTAAGATTTCTAGTTTTAGCACAATAATAGCACACACTGCCTTGGATTTCAATTCTTAACAAAAAATTTCTTAGATTTGTATTTTTAGCACAATAGCACCAAAAGCATTGGTTTTCCATTTGTTTAAACAAGAAAATACCTTGAATTTCTATCTTTAGGACAAAATGCCTTGGATTTCTATTTTTAGCATAATAATGAACAAAATGGATTGGATTTCTATTTATAACACAAAATGAATTGGATTTCATTTTTTTTTTTACCAGAAAATACTTTGAATTTCTACTTTTAGCACAAAATACCTTAGATTTCTATTTTTAACATAACTAACCACAAATGGTCTTGGCTTTTTATTTTAGCAAAATGCTTTTGATTTCTTTTTTAAGCACAAAATGCCTTAAACTGGATTTCTATTTAAGACAGTATTATATATATACAAAATACATTATGTACATAAAATGTCTTAAAAAAGTAAAAACTTCATTACCCCATTTGGTTTTGAGACTACATAAGGATTCCACAAACACACATGATGGTTTACTCCAGCTGTAGCTAAAAAAAGAAAAAAAATCCAGATGAAGCTAAAAATAGGAAAAATCCAGTTGCAGCTATAAATAGAAAAAATTCAGGTGAAGCTAAAAATAGAAAAAGAATCAAGCTGTAGCTATAAATAAAAATAAAATTCAGATGACGCTACAGTTTTGACCGTATCTAAATTTCAACATACCAATTAGATTCAGCTGGTCGCTAAAGTCGAAGGCGTTCACACCTTGCGATATCGTAAATGCAGATGTTCGCTGGATCTCCTTCTTAGATGTGGCACTCCTGAAATATTCAAATAACTTTTTACCAAATATTCAAATAACTTGTTCGAAATATCTAAAAAAAAGTTGTTCAAAATATTAAAAAAACTTGTTTGAAATATTCAAAAAATTTGCTTGAAATATTAAAGGATTGCCTAGATTTCCAAATTACATATATTGTATAATAAACATAATTGTTCAGAGTGCTTTTATTCTCAAACTAATGAAATTAACCAAATATAAAATCGAAACATACATGCTTGCTTTAATATCAAGCATTTGCCTACAGTATGTGAATAAATAAATATAAACATACAAAATGAAAGGAATTTAATTCATTCAGCCAGACTGTTCTTTAGTAGCCCAATAATTGAATTTGGGAGTTCTGATAACGAGTTTTTTTTTTTAACATATATGGGTAATATCCTTGAATGTTAGGGCTTAAAGTTAGGGTATTGAACAAAATGATTTTCTTCTTTTTAAACAAAATACCAGCCAAATATTTGTATTGAACAGACTCAGAGTAATTACTTGACCCAAGAGCTAAATCTTGGCTTCATTTAATTTAAATTTACTTTTGACCAAAGAGCTAAATCTTGGCTCCATTAATTACAATTACTTTTGACCCAAAGAGCCAAATCTTGGCTCCATTAGTTTACAATTACTTTTGACCCAAAGAGCCAAATCTTGGCTCTATTAATTTACAATATAAAACTAACATATAGGTATACAGTATAAGTAAATGATAAAGGAATCAAAATTTTATGTTTTTATTGCACTACTGGACAGTTTCAAGCTTATTTAGCAATCACCAGTTACAAATGGTGTTGATTAAGTAAGGGGGAACAACTTTTATCCAATTTTACAAGATTTTTTTTTATAAAAGGGAGACAACTTTTGAAAACAATGATATCTAGATAATTATACAATATATAGATACACATAGTACACCAAGATTTCACATCTATTACCAAGAGGTGGATAAATAATATGTTTACAATATTTAGTACGATACAATATGAATGTAATATTTGTGCAAACAAGACAATTATACTAAAAAGATTAAAAATAAAATAACAGAACTAAAAACAACATTGATCATAAAGATCATCAAGGTCATTACCAGTTAAGAATATGTCCATAATATAGGTTACACACTAATCAATTATTTACATCAAAATATTCTTGTTGTTTTAATAATATTGTCCGACTGTCTAAATTTCAAATCAAAGAGAATTTCAAAGTTTACAAAATGACTTGAATTCAAGCTAAAAAAAATATATAGCTTGTTAAATTATTCCCTTTTTTTTTACATATATCAGTCAAAGTTTTTATTTCTATGATTAACAGACTATCCAATGATTTTTTAGATAATAAGACCGTTTATACTTAATTGAAAACTCTGGGATAATAATTCTGAATATGACATATTCGATGAACAGATGTACTAACAAACAATTATATTGACGTATTTATCATTCGACCGATGTAAGCTGGAAAACCTTTAAGTATAGGATCAACATAATAATAGTTCAACCTCAGTTGGCTCGAACTTCTATCTCTCGAACAAATTTGCACAGTCCCTTCGAGTTCGAGCGAACGAAGTTCGACTGTATATTATTTTAGTGTGCATTATCACCTTAGCCAATGTGTAAAATGCTAAATCACCATCTGATTGGCTGTTTTTCAATACAAATTTGAAAATTAACCAATCACAGTGCTTGTTGTATTTACAATCATATAACACTCGTCTGATGTGACTCAAAGCTTACAAATAAAAATTCTTTATTATAATCACTTATAAATTAAATATGCAGAAATATTGATAAAATGAAATGCTTATTTTCATTTTCCGTATTTTCACTGCAGTGAAGCATATTTTCTGTATTTTCACTGCAGTGAAACATATTTTCTGTACTTTCACTGGTGTCTTGCCGGACTACTTTCTTCTAAATTCATCCAATATACAAAATTTCTAGTAAATTCTTTCAAATTGTGATGTCACAAAAGAGAAAAATGTATATTATAAGCAGGAAATTAAAGTTTTTTCTATAAATACATGATTTATTTTCATTTACTGGTATAAAAATAAATATTTCATGAGTGGTGGTCCTACTTGGCTAATTACGCAGTGTAGAAAAAAAACATACATGTCATAAAAAAATAGTTCCGTAAGTGTCCAATCAGACGAGTGTTTATGAATACCATTGATTATTGAACCTTTTGCCTCGTAAGTACCCGTTGATAAGTCAGAATATATTTATACAATATATACTTAATACCGGGGCTGTTAAATTACCATTTTTTGATAAAACAATTGCTACATTATAGAATAAATGAATATATGTTTCTAAATACAAAATGTATTGTATTTTAGCTTTAAGCCCTAAGCCTGGAATTTTAAAGAAATAACCTAGTATCAATTTTACGGTATTTTTACAGCCCTGATATTAATAACAACACTATAAACTGTAAAACCACTAAAATTTGTGGATCATTAATTTTGAAAATTTCTTGTCTTAGACTTTATAGTCAAATTTGAACTCAACCTTCTGTAATATTACCATATTGTTTCCATTTAACAACCCAGGGGCTTGATTTTATTTCAAAAGGGTGGGGCCTATTAGAACTAGAAATTTGTGATTTAAAATAAAATACAAAACAATCATTGAAATCATTATTCATCATCATTATATAATATATAATACAGGATTGATTTTTTTTTAATGATTTTATATAACTGGAGCAGACTGTACTTAAGCATGTCATTCCCATTGAGCACTTTTTGACGCTATATTTTGGAAGCCCCACTAGATTGCTCTGAAAATTGAGAAAAACTTGTTGGTTTTTTATGACAAAAAGCACGAAATTTTATATCCACAAATTTACATGTTTTTACAGTTCTAAATATATAAGCTATAAAATCTTCAGGACGTGTTGGTATACATCCGTGAAAAGCTTTTTGAATTTTCAGCACATTTTGACAACTTTTATGCTAATTCTGCAGATTAATTAAAGCCGCTATGTGATACAGATTAAAACAAAAGAAAAATCTTGTTCAGTGAATGCTTTACAAGTTATAAAGCATCTAAAAAAAATAATTGTATCATCCATGAAGTGGCTCAATCAAACTGAGCCTGCAACATTTTCAATTTTTTCGGACTTTCTTTAGGGCTTCCATAGTATAATTTTCTCTATTTTAGCATTCCAAAAAAAATCTGATTCACAAAATGCTTTCAAAATTACAACATTACTTGTACTTAGAAAATGGCTGAAAAAAAGGCCAAGTTTTTCATGTAGCTTTTCACAAATGTATGGTCTTTGAAATACACAAATCTGTTGTTTTTATAACTTAATCATTAGTGAACTAAACTAAACTTAACATATACTGTAGTTTATATCTCTTGTGTTAAGAATATATGAGTGTTTTTTTCCCCCCAGATAATTCAGGGGCACAAACAAACAGATTGTTTCAGTTACATTTATATATAGAAAATAAGCGTGATGTACGTGTCAATCTCCCCAGATTGAACAGTGTGGTGCACCCTGAAGCTAATAAGGTCAAAGTTTGTTTGTCCCTTTAGATTAGGTTGGAAAAACCCACATATGCCAAATTCTTGAAAATAAACTTACAAATGTCATCAGTTGGTGTCGGGGCGAGAGGAGGGGGGTAGATGGGGGTTGGGGTAAGTGTCAGTCTTCAATATAATATTATGTTCAAAAAGAATGCTTTTTTTATTCTGTACAATCAGTTCAATAAAAAAAAAAAACATTCCTTTTTTCCTTTTCTTTTTTAATCTGCATCATTTTTAAATGAGGTGCTTAATTGAGGCTATGTAATCTTTATTAAACATGGAACACATATTACATGTACAGTCAAACCTGTATTAAAAAGCCACCTTTGAATAAAGGCACCCAGTCAAATAAAGGCCACTTTTTGATAACCCTCCATTGACAAAATGACCTCCAAATAAAGACCATCTGTCTATTAAGACCATCATTTGTCACTCCCTTATATGGCCCTTGTTCACAGGTTTCACTGTAGTTTATTTTTTTATAACAGGGGTGCTAATCAAAGACTGTATTACTTTTAAGAAAGGGGTGTTTTTTTATGAGGTTGAACTTCTCTTCATTTTTTATTTTAAACAGGTGTGCTACACACAACACCAGGTCAAGTTGAATGATTTTATTTGCTACTAGTCTTAAGTAATATTATACTTAGTGTATTTTTTTCACTTTTGGGGAAGGGGGCCCATACTTTTTTAAGTGGGGAATAGGGCTGAATTTCGCCAAATATTTTGGTGGAAAAAAATAACACTGATGCTCCCAATCAGGCATATGAATGTATGAAATTTGAACCCTGAAGTACTGTTTTTAGAGATTTTTTTTTTTAGATTTGTTACTATAAATAGAAAAGTTGTTGCTAAAAATAAATTCAGTTTTGGCACAGTTCCAAAACACTTATTCACTAGTATTATCATATGTATAGTTAAATAAAAAGAATCACGATTTAATTATTTATGCTTCATATTCTTTGAATCTTTGTATCTTTGTATAAGAGGTGCTTATTAGTACATATACGGTAAAGAATAATCAATAAAGAACACATGTCTAAAACGACCATTATTTGTCTCTTATTAGAATCTATACGGTAAATCTACAGATTTGTGTATTTCAAGTTTTCATTCTCCCCCGTAACACAATATGAGCCGCGTCATGACAAAACCAACATAATGGGTTTGCGACCAGCATTGATCCAGACCAGACTGAGCATCCATGCAGTCTGATCAGGATCCATGCTGTTTGCTATCAGTTTCTCTACTTGTAATAGGGTTTGTAAGCGAACAGCATGGATCCTGATCAGGCTGTGCGGATGCTGGTCGCAAACCCATTATGTTGGTTTTTGTCGTGACGCGGCTCATTATGTAAGAGTGCATGTTCTATATCTTCAGCACCTACCCTGGTATATAGGTTCTCCATGTACTAAAAAAGTGATACATTTAACATGTCATATTAAAATTATAGTTAAAAACAAAAACTTCTATAACACTTTACAAAAGGGTGGCCAACATATTTGACATTTCTCAATTTGTAAAATGCAATCTGGGGAAAAAGTTGTTTTTTTTTTCCTTGGTAAACATTTAGTTTAAACATAATTTACAAATTCATTCAATAGGTTTTCAATAAGTGTTATTAGCTAAAAGAGGTGGTGGTGTTGGTACATGTAGTTTACACTCCAGATCATTACAATAAGCCACATTGATTTAACCAGAGAACAGTTCAGCTCCTGCATCATTTCTGGGAAGGCTCATCAAAAACAGTCATAATATATCATCAGACATATTCCTAAAAATATATATTCATAAAATCTTGCCAAAAATATTATTAAAATGTCTATATAAAAATATTCCTTAAATGTCAACAAAAATATTCCTAAAATGTCATCAAAAATATTCCTTAAATGTCACCAAAAATATTCCTAAAATGTCATCAAAAATATTCCTTAAATGTCACCAAAAATATTCCTATAATGTCACCAAATATTCCTGAAATGTCATCAAATATTTCTTAAATGTCAACAAAAATGTTCCTAAAATGTCACGAAAAATCTTCCTTAAATATCACCAAAAATATTCCTCAATGTCATCAAAAAATCTTAAATGTCACCAAAAAATATTCCTAAAATGTCACCAAAAATCTTCCTTAAATATCACCAAAAATATTATTTAATGTCACCAAAAATATTCCTACATTGTCATCTCTAAAAATTATCAACAAAATATATTGTAATATTCGAGTATCTCATAAACATAATCTTTATATGTCACCAAAATAGCTTCAAATATTCAGTAAACCCCTAAATATATTATAAAATATCACAAAATGTAACCAAAAGATCACTTGGGTTGGCCACCCTTTTTTTACCATCTTTGTTTATCAAAGCACATACGAGATTACATAATTATCATCTAAAAATAAGCTCTTTCACAAATTAGTAATAGAGGAGTATCAAAACACGAGGCTATCTGATTTAAATGAACTTAATGATACAATTATTTCGTCAACTAGATCAATTTCTAGTTCCACACAATCTATACCTTGCTATACGAGCCAAAAGAGTGATTTAACCTACAAGATATTTCCTAATACATATCCCATAATACAACAGTAAAATAATTCTACTATTATACGGTCATGATTATATGAATTTTTTATAATTAAAATAAAATCAAAACAATTCACCAACATTGTCCAAAATTTTAATTTTTAGTCTATAGTACTGTTTGATTGCCAGGTATTTACTGTAAACCATTGAATGTCAACACATTATATAGGGTTATTATATAGGCATCCGGTTCACTTACCCAGCTTAGCTGGATAACTAACCAGTATAATTACCAATTATCATAGTTCAGATATCGTATTCGTTACGTTATTCCCACCAAGCTAGTGAGTGACACATGTAAATAAGATGATGATTATAAATTACCAGAAGTTGTTGAACGTTTTATATTTAATTAAATATTTCTAAAATACAAGCATACAAATGAGCCCCTTCACGACAAAACCAACATAATGGGTTTGCGACCAGCATGGATCCAGACCAGCCTGCGCATCCGCGCAGTCTGATCAGGATCCATGCTGTTCGCTATCAGTTTCTTTACTTGTTATAGGGTCTGTAAGCGAACAGCATGGATTCTGATCAGACTGCCCGGATGCGCAGGCTGGTCTGGATCCATGCTGGTCGCAAACCCATTGTGTAGGTTTTGTCGTGACGCGGCTCAAATGACTGTGTTTGTAACTTATACCTATTGTTACTATTATATACAGCAAATAACATATGTTCTAAAACCAAAAACTGTTAACTGTTAGTTTCAAATTGAAAATCCTTCAGACAAACAGCCAACCTTATTGTGTCAAGCTATAAAAAAACACTTTATAATCTTTTTAATTTATAGAGTAGGCGTGTCTATAAAATAAAATTTTTAAACGAAGGCATGTAACTTTTTTGTACGTTGACTGACAGATGTTATTTTCTCCAATTGGAGAATTGATCTTCAACTACTAATAACAGGTCTTGTTAGATTCAGTCCAAATATTCAAATTAACTTAGTACAAAAAAGTGCGCGTATATATCAAATTAAAAAGGAGGCGTGTCACTTACTGTTTTCTAGGCTGATTGACAGATGTGAGCTTCTCTACCCAATTGCTTAAAACAGGTCTTGTTAGATTCAATCCAAATATTCAAATTAACTTAGTACAAAAAAGTGGGCGTGTATAACAAATAAAAAAGGAGGCGTGTCACTTACTGTTTTGTAGGTTGATTGACAGACGTGTGCTTCTCCATCCAACCAATCATAACAGACCTTGTAGAGCTGGTGGCACAGCTGATGAAGCATTCCAGATAGTGTGAATATTTTACTGAAAAATATAACACAAACAGAAAAAAAGAATAAGTTATTGTGTTATAGAGTTTAAAAGCTAGCCATGATGATTATTGTTTTTGCTCAAAAGAGTAGGGCTGCAACGATACACCAAATGTTCGATTCGATTCGATTACGATTTTAGACACTCCGATTCGATTTTTTTCGATTCGATACATTTCTGATTACTAATTTATCTTTGGTATATAATTCTGCTTGTATGCTCCAAAAGTGAGTGGCCTTCAACCTAGTGCTTTGCTTTTCTGTTGTAATATAACTATTATATAAACTTATTTGACTCAATCATTGTGTTTTTGAGAATAAAAAGCTCTTGTCTATTTGGAAAATAATTTAAATCAGGCAAATAATCATTAATCTCAGTAACATGACTATCACAGATACCTTCTGCTGACTAGGAATTTAACAAATTATGTAAATTGTAAAGTAAATAATAATGAACCAAACAAGTCCACATCGTGTTTTCGTTTCATATGTTGCATTAAATTAGATGTACTGTCGGACTTTGGATATGACACGTCCGTAAAGCATATTTTGTAAGTAGTTTTATCCGTGTCCTGGCCTTCCCGAAACTCAAAGTGTTCCCAAACCTTTGATTTTAATTTTTTTAGGGGGATTTTTTAATTTTATTTTATCAACATTGATGTTGGTAGCCATTTTGACTTGTTTGCCGGAAATAAAACATTACGCGCCCATTGATTGGATGACCGAGTTTTAACTGGCCAATCGTATGTAACGTGATAAAGCGCGAAGGGAAGGACTAAAACTCTCACTTTTTTCCATGTTTATTTTTGGGTGGGGAATCGAATCGAAAACGTTACAGTTGGTATCGGGAATCGAATCGGCGCTCATAAAACCGGTTTTCGATGCATCAAAAGGTATCGTTGCACCTCTACAAAAGAGCAAGGGACAAAGTTGATGATAAAAATAATGTTTACTTAGTAAATTCTGATATTATTTTGCACATTACATTTGTAATTCAAAGTTTTACCTTGATAATGACTACTGACAAAGTTCTTAAAGGGACTCCACTGAGGTTTTCTAACATGATATGACTCGAAATATTTTTCGAGATTAATGTTCCAATTGTTGTAGGTCTAGATAAGTAACTTGTGTGCAAAATTTCAATGAACTCTCTGACTCACTTTTCCAGAATAACCATTTTTACTGTGAAAATTGACCCAGAAATGCTTTTCACTCAAATTGGGCTAACAATAGCACAAAAATATTTATTTCAATTTATTTCTGAGAAAAAGCCTTAATCATCTTTGTACATTTTTCTGTATTATGTGCACCCAGGTGATCTATGTAAAAAAATTCAAATGTTCAATTTTTAGGTTTTTAGATCTCAGTGCAGTTTCTTAAAAAAATATTAAAACAAGAGCTGTCCGTAAGACAGCGCGCTCGACTTTTTTATTGCTTGCCAATAAAAAAAGTTTTTGCAGTAAAAGGCAATACAAGAATCTCTGTATTTTTAAAGTGAACAATGGCCATGAGCATTAAGATATTTAGTGAAGAATTATTTTACTGAATTGTGTGATACCCTTGAACACTGCAGCAAAGTTTGAAATGTTTAAGTCAAAAGAGGGCTGGTAAGAAAGAAAAAAAAACTGAGTTGAGCCTTAAATAAATTTAATAGTATTAAACCCACTTTGAGAGAATAAGGTATTTTTACGTCACTCAGAACACCTTGGTAAATGACATAATAACATAATTTTTCAAGAAATCTATGCCAAGGAAGCAGTATATTTTTGTACAATCAGCATAATATATAGATTTGACTTTGTATGTGAAAGTATTATAGTTACCTTATAATACAAGTAATAGATAAATTTTATCAAGCTTTTTTAGATGTTGTCAGTTGGTCACAAGTGGATCTCTTTCACACAGGCTGTGGGTGACTGGTTACTTTTCGTGGGTCCACTATGTAGATAATGCGTTGTAAACTGATATTTGAATTACATGAAGGAAGCTCAATACACTTTCTAAGTCAAAAAAGGGCCATAATTCTGTCAAAAACCTTGACAGAGTTATGTACTCTTGTCTGTAGATGGAGGTTATGATGGTGAACAAGTATGGTAAGTTTCAAAGCCATACTTGTAATACTTCTGAAATAAAGTGGGGTGGTACGAAAAACTTAACCAAGGTGTGACGCCAACGCCGACGCCGACGCCGGGGCGAGTAGGATAGCTCCCCTTTTCATAGAAAAGTCGAGCTAAAAACCATACTTTTAATGTAATATTTTTATAATTCATTTCACACATCTGGTGTAAAATGTCTTTTTTTATGTTGATTGACAGTTGTGTGCTTTTCTGTCAATCAAATCAAAATAGACTTTTGGTTTAAACATGTTTATTCAACATTACATTTAGCATGTGAACAATATTTAAAAAAATACTTTTTGGGACCAGGCACAATTAAAGCTACAAAGGTTATGAGTGTCCTCCCCCAGGACATTGTTAGATTCAGGCTAAAAATACTTATAAATTTTGTATGAAAAAAAAAAGTAGGTGTGTGAAAAAAAAGTAGGTGTGGCTAAAAACTAAAAAGGGGCGTGTCACTCACCTTGCCGCGCCCATTCCTTGATGTGTGCCTGGAATTTTGTGTATGTTACATTCTTGTATTTTCCTATAGCTATGTGGTGAAGATCCACGTTCAAGCAAGTCTCTGTAAATATATAGAATACATTAGGAATAAAACTAAATCCTTTTTTTTTTTTTTTTTTTTTTTTTTTTTTTCCCCAATTTTATTAATATTTTTTTTTTTTTTTTTTTTTTTTTTTTGTGAGTGTTTAATTAAATCACAACAACATCATACATGTGAAATCTCCCACTTTAAGCGGGGGAGACCTCCCTGTGACTTTCTGCAGCCATATTTTCAAAGATTTTTGTAAAAAAAGTAAGTGGTATATTCTCAAGTTAAAGAAATCTCCCTCTTTTTGATGTCACAACTTTCTTCTTTGTTTATTGCAAATTCGAAAATCTCCCTCTTTTTGGAGAAAAATCTCGCACTTGATCATTGAAAAAAGTTCACATGTATGTGATTGAATTACCAGCTGTTCTGGTCAAGGAAGACCTCAGGTCAGGTTCCCCTTGTGCATCATTTTAGGTAACCTGATGTGACTTATTAATTTACTATTAAGGCTTATGTGCAAGTTAGAGGCTACAGTGACAATCCCTTTTGTCACATCGTAACATCTCAATTCAGCTGACTGACCTAATTTCACGAATTCCAGATGCTCGGTTTTAATTATTCTTTTCTCTATTCGTAATATCCAACTGTTTATATTATTAGTTATGTAGATTTTTTTACAGGTTATATGGCCCTATATAAACGGCTGTTTGTAAATATAACCTGAGCCATATAACCTGTCATAACGAATTTATAATACAGCAAGCATCATTTTTAGAAGATTAAAGTGCAATTTCTTCATAAATCAACAGCAGCCGTGTATATAAAACTATATAAACGTCACGATTATCCAATGAAAAGTGCGTTACAAACGAGCAGTATTATAAATGGTCATAATTAACCTGTCTTGAAAATTTATTATGTATTAAGAATTTATAATACAGACACAATTTTTTTTAAATTAAAAGAATTATATTTCTTCAACAGTGTATATAAAGCTATATAAACATCATGATTATCCAATGAAAAACAACGTCACACTAGCTTGTAGTATTATATTATGTTATATATATCATTGACATTTATATAAACAATACAAAATCATATGTCATAGCACTGGGGTAATTTACTATCCAGCTAAGCTTACGGAACGTCGGTGGTTCTACTCAGGTGCCCGTTCATGCCTGAAATAATTCATGGAAGGGCACCTTAGGTCTTCCTCCACCAGTAAAGCTGGAACGTCGCCAAATGACCTATACTGTGTCGGTGTGACGTAAAACCCAATCAAACAAACTGGGGTAAATAAGACAGTTAGTGCTGAAAAAAAATATTTGTAATATTGTCTGCCAACTTAAATGTAAACATTCCCTCCGATGAGATATGGAAAACATGAGTGAGATATTAAGTTGTATCACACTGTTTAAAGGATATAAAGTTATATAATTTATAGAGTATTTTGATTCCTGTTCAGTACACTGTTTTACAAAGAGGAACACAAAAAGTAAAACAATGCGGATAAAAGCCATGTTTCCGAGCCCTATCTCAGCCAGGTAACCTCAAGCTATCTCAATAGAATAAAAAAAACACTACATCAGAAAAAAACAAAAGCACCGCTGCTATTAAAAGGCAGTATCTAAAGCTCGTCTGTTGAAAATTCTAAATTAAAAAGGGGCATAATTTCAAAAATATTGTTTTACAGAATTATGCCCCTTGTCTAACAACTGCACCTTGTCATAGAAGGCAATGAGAATTTCAAGTTTCAAATTGATACTTTATAAAATGTCTTAATTAAATGAGTCGCGTCACGAAAAAACCAACATAATGGGTTTACGACCAGCATGGATCCAGACCAGCCTGCGCATCCGCGCAGTCTGATCAGGATCCATGCTGTTCGCTATCAGTTTCTCTACTTGAAATAGGGTTTGTAAGTGAACAGCATGGATCCTGATCAGACTGCGTGGATGCAAACCCATTATGTTGGTTTTGTCATGGCGCGGCTCAATTTTTTTTGAAACAGACAAGCTTACAAGAGTACTTCCTTTGGTATAAACGCTCGTCTGTTCAAAGCAAAGGTAGCCAATTTTTATAAATATTCTCTGTTAAAAAGGGACATTACTCCTAAAAATATTGCTTTCAGGATAATTAATTCCTCTTATATGACACATGAAAAACAAATATTCTAAGTTTCATTTTGCTTTTTGGAACTTACAATATTGATAAATCTTCATTTGAGCATTATATTGATGATATAAGACCATAAAAAAATTGAGTTATTAATATTAATATGGTGTGAAAATAACAATAAAATTGAAAAAACAAAAATCATAGTTACCTACCTTGCCACACTAAGTGAAGGTCACAGAGTTCACACAGGGTTCAAAGGTGAAAGGTTAACCAACCAAGGATGGGGTGAAAAGCAGAAAAAGGTTAAACACACATGCCACAAACAAAAAATTAATTCAAAACAAAAACAAAATTTTTTCATATGATTTTCTCTCCCTTAATTCATACAATAAACTTTTTGGAAAAAGGATTGTCTGCTGAAAATGATGTCTGATATCTATAGTACGAAAGACCCGTAGGGCCATTTCAATTTCATGAATTCCCGATTTCATCTTCGTCAATTCACAATTTGAACTTCACAATTCAACTTCATGAAATCACGATTTCAACTTCACAAATTCACGATTTTAACTTCATGAATTCATGATTTCAACTTCACGAATTCAACTTTGTGAATTCGTGAATTCAACTTTGTGAATTCACGATTTCAACATTTTATGAATTCACGATTTCAACTTCACGAATTCAACTTCACGATTTCACATTTTTTCAACTTCATGATTTCACGATTTCAAATTCATGAATTCACGATTTCAACTTCTTGAATTTAACTCCATAAATTCACGAAGCTGAAATCGGGAATTCATGAAGTTGAAAGGCCCCCACCGGTCTTTCGTACTAAAAGGACTCCATTTAAGTTTTTTTTCATCATGACAGGACTGTAAATTTTTTTTTTCCAGATTTGTGTACCATTTGATTTAGGTCTAAACCAATCAATGTTGTGCAAAGACAATTTATAATAATTGAATAAATTCAATGACCGTTTTTAGTTTCGTTTTTTTTTTCTTTTTCTTTTTTTCGAATTATCATTTTAATTTTCAATATATATAACCCAAAAATTGAAAAAAGTGTTTAGAATTAATGCTTTTTACTCAAATGGAGGTTAAAAATTGCACATATAAAAATCAATTTTCAATTTTACATATTTCTGGCCTGCTCAGTTGAACCAGGGTCTATAAATTTTGTATTTGAAAGACCCTGGTTGAACTACCATTATAAAATTTTGTAAGAATTTAAAATTTCATGAAACCTCAGTCTGGAGTTCCTTTAATGATCGTATACATTATAATCAACAAGACTTCTTTTTGTACTTTTTTGAACTTTGACAGTCTTGAACTCTGTTACAAGTGGAGAAACTGACAGCGAACAGCATGGATCCTGATCAGACTGCGCTTTTTACTGCGCAAAGCGCAGACTGGTTTGGATCAATGCTGGTCACAAACGCACTATGTTGGTTTTGTCCTGACGCGGCTCAATTATCATCTATGTTTTATTTTAAATACATCATAAAATCAATTGACCTTTTCGAAATCCTTGGCTACATGCCATAATTACGGTACATTACAGACTTTAGCTCCGGAAAATTACACCTAAAATGTACTTTTACTTAACATAATCTTACCCAAAATTTTACATATTTTTTTTATTTATACCTATAAAAGTGCTGCCTGTAATAATAAAAAAAACTTCTGCAATAACTTGTGTATTTACATTATACAGTCAAACTCTGTTCGCTTGAATTTGGAGAGTCTGCGCAAATTTGTTTGAGAGAACAGTAGTTGGAGCCAACCGAGATTGCACTATTATAATGTATTATATCATATTTTAAGTAGGACATGGGCCTGAGGGTTAAGAAAATTAAAGTGTGGGACTAATATTTTGTTCAATACATTTAATTATCATTTTAAAAAAATTATTGATTTATTTCCTTTTAATCAAAAAAAAAAGACCAAAAACATACTTTATCGTGATTATATGCCAATTAGGCGTCGAATTCCCCAGAGCAATTGTATCACAAAGTACCGCAAAATGGCATTTAGCTAGGATGATTTTTTTTTTTAATTTTCTGAATAAATTATAATACTTAGAAATCATTTTAATCAAATAATATCAAACAAACTTTATCAAATGCTATAAATAAAAGTATGATATACCAACTTAATGCATCTACCAAAATATTGAACCCAAAGTTAATAAATTATAAACCCAAAGTAACAGCTAATCTGACAAAGGGTAAAGAACCCAAATGGTAAAAACTAACCCAAATGGTAAACACTAACCCAAACTGGTAACATTGTACCAAAGAGATAAATAGAGAGAAAATCATATAAAAAATAAACACAGTGATGTGCTCAATTAAAGAAGCATCTTTTTAACAGCGACAAAAACATAGTGTTCTACTGAAATTCCATTGTTAGTAAAAAGTTTCCTTTGATTTAGAGATTATTTATTTAAACAAACTGTTAGTAACAAACATTTTGACTTTGAGATTATTTTTTTCAAATGAAAAAAAAAAATCACTTTGGCTCCAAGATTGTTATTAAAAACTTTATATTTGATGAAAAAATGATCATTTGAGTAACAAAAATTATTCCTTAGATATTGACAATAAAATCACAAATTAACATTTAAATTGTTTAATAATTTTCTTCTTTTTTTTACGGATTAAGATTTTAACAAAAATCACACACAAATGAAGGTAAAAACTAAATTTTAATAAATCAAACATAGTGGATCTAGCCTATAAAGCTTTAGCAACTAAATATAGAAAATATTTCAGTCTGTACTCTACAGAGTTTAAACACCGTTTTATATTTAAATGAGCAAAATGACTTAAAAAAACAAAAAAGAATGAACTTAAATTGACCCTACTTAAACAGCAGTTACTTACAAGTTATATTGAAACTAGTTTTTGTTTGGTTTTACCCGGC